CTGCCTCTGAGAAGCTCAAAGACTTTGTTCAAAGCCCCAAATTTGGGTACATAATAGCGTTCATCCTGATCCTGAATTTTGTGGCTTTCATATTGAGACAACGGTATGACTTTCAGTCAAGTAGTATCCGAAATAGTAGTTAAACCACATATTATTATATTTGAGAAGATTTAATGGTTTCTTGAACATAAATTCAATGACATTACATGTATGTTTAACTCGTGAATCATATAGCACTATTAAATCTCTATGTAGTTCTAGATGCTATTATTAATTAATTCTCGTTAAATTTCAAAGAGTTATCCAAATAGAAAATGAAGCTAGCATCACATTTATCAGGATCATAATTTGGATTTTATGGCTGGGGGGTGGGGGGGGTTGTATTTGATTTGTTATCTTTAAGCATTTAATTGATTTCCTTAACTTTGGATCTTACTTTAATGTAGATGTTTAGCTTCTATATTTAACCCCTGTTTGGTGGCTGCTTGATATTCTTCCTACAGAAGCTATTAAATTGAGAAATTTATTAGACAACGGAAGGGGAGCTGAATAGACTGAAACCTTACTTAGATTTGATTTGGGGGCATCTATAAATTATCTTTGCTAAAAACGATAACTTATTGATTTATTTTTAATTTTTTGAGTAGCCATCGGATGGAGTCGGTAAGGTGTTGTTTGGAGTTCAAATCTCTGATGTAGAAGCTGAAATTTCTATAAACATTTTAAGAATTGTTAGACTGAGATGGTGGCTATTCTTGTTAATATTTAATGCTTGTTTCCTGTAATCCTTAGTAATCTATTTGTTATTACGGTGAAGGTATGTATTTATTTAGAACTTAATTTTTTTATTGAAGCAAATATTTCCTAAAAAAAAAAAAGCACAAGCATATATTTGTTATATCTCTTCATTGTTGGCATCGTGGTGTGGTTCTTTTATATGCGAGCATTTATATGCCTTATTTAGTTGATCTTGGACATTCTTACATGTCTGCTGCAAGTGTCATATTCTAATTGTTTATGGCATTGCCACATGAATTTTTGGAAGAAAAAACTATATATTGCTGAAGATATTGAAAAATTCTTTGAAGAAAAGTGTTAGCTTGAAGCTATTTTTGTCAATTCTCCTGCTTTCTTGGATGTGTTGAGAGCAGCTACGCATTTGAAGTTTTACCAGGTGATTTTGTTTAATTTAAACATATTGGTATTTGAATGGCATCAGAATATTTAACTTGTTACCCTTCTTATTTTTTGGTTTATATAACTTGGATGTTGGAAATTAGATTGTTTCAACTATAGCCTTTTTATTCTTTAAATCAGTGAAAATTTGGTGGTCCTTCCTTCAAATTGGGTGCTTATAATCAGTGAAAAACATTTATACATATTCGTTATGATCTCTAGCAAACTAATTTTTTCTTGAAAGAATTTGACCTTTCTCATCATTTGGTCATGAATAAGACGTTGGAGGCATCTACGAATAGGAGAAAGGGTCATTGCCTGCCTTTCGTTGTATGGCAATGTGTGTACGTGCATTGCATATCTTTTCATTTGCTGATTAAATATCTATCTATATATGTGCCTTACACCTCTTTTGAGTTTTTTTTTTTTTGGGTCCTGGGGGGCACGTGCCCCCCAACTTTTGAGTTTTTTTTAAAAAAATATATAAAATCATGTTTGGTATCGATTGGAATAGAAATTTTAATTTAAATCAAAGTTAAAAAATTAATTTTAATAACATATTTCATGAAATCCATAACTATTTAACTTTTATCAAAATTTACTAAAAATTTGATTTTAATCTCCACCAAATAGGGGCAAAATCACAATAAATTTGAATTTCGATAACAAGCTAATTTTAAAAATTCTCCAACAGAAACTCTTTTTTCCTAATCAATGATCATTTCTTCAAACTTACAATTGTAAGAACAAGAAAAATGAAAACGATGTCAACAAGTTAGGAAAAAAAATTAAAAAATAAATAAATTAAAGTTTCATGTACCCAAAGGCGCATAAATTCTTCCCAATACCACCTAACCTTTCCTATTAATATAGAAAACGAAATAACAAAATTCGACCCAACTAACATCTAGAGGAAGCCAAATAGGTATAATATGCAGAATTAAAAACTAACTAATAAAAAATGCAACAAGTCACAAATTATTGTATCTAGCTAAATTTTTAAGTCAGTTTTAATCAATTGAGAAAGAATTTTTATTTTAAAGAAATTCATACACATATATTAAACATGCATCATACGCATAAGGTTTGTTCACTGAACGTTAGCACATTCCATGTCACCCCTTCCTATTTTTCAGATAATGAAAGCAAGATAATTCGATATGACGATTTGTAGTGAGATGGACTCAATATTATCATATTTAAATATAGAATTTGTTTTGTAAGTAATGTTAATTTTTAATTTAATTGTCTTATATTTTTATAATAAGTCATGTTTATTATGTTGACGAAAAATTAAATCATCTCTTGGCATTTATGATTTTAAGAGAAAATTAAATTATAATACTTTCAAATCTAGATATCTAGATTTGGAGGTGTTATAATTTGGTATTAGAGACAAGCGTTTTAAAATCCTTTCTATAGATTTTTTTTAAAAAAATTGTTAACTAATTTTTAAAGAAAACTTGCCACAAGGAGTCCTTTCACAATCATTTGGTAAGATGAATTTTATTTTTGAAATTTATGAATGTTATTAGCTTCATAAATGTTGTAGTAGCAGTATAAAGTTATTAAGTTTTCTTGTATTTGAATATATCCCCTACTACATGTTCTTCCACACACGCACAACAAAAAAAAAATGTAAATCTCACATGCGGGGTTGGAAGATGCCACTAGAACAATAGACATCCCTATAATAACAGTAAAATATTCAAATACGAGTCCTATATTTTTTAAGAAGTCAGAGATGCTACCTACACACCTGATGCACATTTAATGTGTCACCCTTTCAAGTTGTAATGAACTCAATTTAAAGTTAATCGGGTTATTGATAATCATAAAGATATGAAATAGTTTTTAGATGAGTATGACCTTAATTAATTGAACTAGCTTTTGACGTATCATGTGAAGGTTATTGTGGCATCTGAATTGACAAACATGCCCTATATTTTTGGCTTTGAGGGCTTAAACGTGAAGCCCTCTATCCCTATGATTACAACCATGAAGACTGGGAAATTGTTGAATAAGTGTTATGTGGCTTACTAATTTCTTGAATATTGATCTTTTCATTGAACAAGTTTCACTGGTTTAAGAATATTAAAATTCATTTTAGATGTATTTTTTAGAATTTCGGTATGATCTGAATTCCTTGTTGAAGTAATTTAGCTTCTATATTTAACCCCTGTTTGGTGGTTGCTTGATATTCTTCCTACAGAAGCTATTAAATTGAGAAATTTATTAGACAACGGAAGTGGAGCTGAATAGACTGAAACCTTGCTCAAATTTGATTTGGGGGCATCTATAAATTATCTTTGCTAAAAATGGTAACTTATTTATTTATTTTTATTTTTTTGAGTAGCCATCGGATGGAGTCGGTAAGGTGTTGTTTGGAGTTCAAATCTCTGATGTAGAAGCTGAAATTTCTATAAACATTTTAAGAATTGTTAGACTGAAATGGTGGCTATACTTGTTAATATATAATGCTTGTTTCTTGTGATCCTTGGTAATCTATTTGTTATTACGGTGAAGGTATGGATTTATTTAGAACTTAATTATTCATTTGTTATATCTCTTCATTGTAGACATTGCGAGCATTTATATGCCTTATTTAGTTGATCTTGGATATTCTTACATGTTTGCTGCAAGTGTCATATTCTAATTGTTTATGGCATTGCCACATGAATTTTTGGAAGAAAAAA